CAAGAAACCTGGAGTGACAAAAAACCCAAAAATAATTACATTAAAACAGAAACCAATTAAAAGTATATTGAGGCTCAATAAAAACACAGACACAAACCATGGGATGTGAAGTTTCCAAAAGGTGCCCTATGCACCCATGCTATAGCTCCCAAACTCTCTCATTTGTTTTCTTAATATTATTATAGATGGAGCTTTACAGATCTTTGTGGTTTAAGAATTCCAAGGTGTAGGCATTGCCACAGAGAAAGCCTATCATTTCATTCCTGCCCCCTCCTCAATTCAGGGTGGGGAGGGTGATTCTTAACAGGTTTTCTTAAGATTTTTTTTTCTGTGAAGAGGCGGATTCAATAGCTGCAAGTAGAACTGAATGTAACATAGTGCTGTCTCATAGGACCTTATAGGTCATTACCAGTACTTTAAGTTGGGTCTTGAAGACTAGTGGGATCTAATGCGGTGGTTTCAGGAAAGATGTGATCCTGCCATGGCAGGATTGGCTCACCATTAATCTTGCAGCTGCATTCTAAACCAGCTGTGGTTTCCAGGTGCTCTCCAAAGCCTACCCAACTTAAATTACATTACATCCAAGTGATGCTTAAAGCATGAATGATCAGTCCTGACCATACTGGGCCAAAGAGGTCATGTCTGCCACATAAACCATAACCACAGTTTCTATGATGACCCCTAACTCATGCCCCAAGTCCTTTGGGGGGAAACAATGTTTCTGTATGTTTACTGATGAATGACTTATTCATATTTATTTAATTGGGCTTTCTTTTCTATCTGATAGACATTGGTTAAGTCATTTTCAGTTTAGTAATGCATACCTGAATGTCATCAGAGCCAATGGGCAGCATTCAAATAAAATAAACAAATGAATCTCATCCTACACAACAGATGCCCCCCTCCAATGGTTTTATATAGCATGGCGAGAAAATGCATGGAGGAGAATATTCAACCCTGGGACAACCAAAAGAACCAGGAGGACCTCTTTTTTCATTCCTATCCTGACAAACTTCATCCACTTAAGTGACTGACACTGTTTTTATTCAATGACTAGATTTCAAAATAATTAATTTTCTCAAAGTTGCAATTGAGTTGTCATCACTTTCCCAAGAAAGTATAGGTTGAAGATGGGAGTGAATATGATCGAACATTTCTGGATCAGGGAAGCCTACTTCAAGTATCAACTGGGAAGATACTTAAGGATGATTCACATCCTGGCCAGTGTCTCTTTTCACTTTTACCATTGGGCAGAAGACACAGAAATATAGCCAGACAAACAGGTTAAAAACAGCTTCTACCCATGGGTAGAACACAATATCGCACCACAAATAAATTAATATGATGAATTTCACTGGTGCCAGTATAGTGTGTAATATGTATATACTATGATATAAGATCATACACCAGAGTAATATACATGTTGCACAGAATATGACGTACATATGGAAACGTATGACTAGGTTTTTTTCCTAACTACCGTGTTTTCCTAAAAATAAGACCCTGTCTTATATTTTCCTGAAATAAGTGCTTGGCCTTATTGCCATGAGCTCAAAAGCCCGATTGGGCTTATTATCAGGGGATGTCTTATTTGGGGGGAAACAGAGTACTTGTATAAGGATTATTCTTTATATTATTCGTGTTGTCTTGTATTCTTGTATGGACTGCACCAGTAGAGGCTAAACCAATTTCATTGTATACATGATGTACAATGACAATAAAGATTTTGAAATCTTTTTTGGAACATATTACTGAATATGGGGGGGGGAAGTGGAATGATGATTCCTTGATTTGCTGAATGTAAAACTGATTGAATAAGGGATAGAAGGAACCTTTGTAATGTAATCAGAAAGAAGGAGGAGGAATTCTCAGCCTTGTTAACAAGGCTGAGAATTCCTCGAGAAAAAAAGATATGATAGCTATTTCAGTGAAGGAAAATTTAATCAGGAAAGATATGCTTCAGACCAATTTACAACATCTAACAGAACACTTTTGGACTTCTTATTTAAATGGATATAAATAAATCTGAGAACTTCTTCAGGAAAGGAGACTTTTTTTGAAAAAAAAAAATATTTCTTATACACATATTGTAAATGTACATTCTCTTATCCGTAATTGATCATATATATACATATTTTTTTCTAATGAAAGCATAAAAATAAGACATTTTAATTACATTTAAAATGCTCTTCTACCCTCTCTTTTCCCTCTTTTCACAACAAACCTTCTTCTCCTTCTTCTTTCTTTCCCCTCCCTCCCTCCTCTCCTCTTCTACTTTCTTCCTCCTCCTCTCCTCTCCTCCCCTACTTCCTCTTCCTCTCTCCCACTCCTCCCCTCTTTCCCCCCTTTCTCACCTTCTCTCCTGCTCTTGTCCCCTATCCTTTCTTCCTCTCCTTCCCCTTTCTTCCATTCCTCTTTCCCCCTCTCCTCCTCTATCCCTCTCCTCCTCTTTCCTTTCTTTTTCCTTTGTTGTGCAATATTTTCCTTATTTGGTATTCAAGCAACTCCAATTTTCTAATAATATATACTTTCTTTTCAATTTCTTTCCCATTTTACCCAATCTATCATTTCATAATTGTACATTTATATTTATAATCTTCCTTCTTAGGAAAGGAGACTTGATAGATTCTCCTGAGAAGAAAAAGACTCTATTCTATGAAGATAAACTGGAGGGAGTGACTTAAATCTGATTTAATTAATTAGGATGGATTTTTTAAAAATGTAATATATGTACTGTTAGAACACTTTAAGTCAGTTTTGTATGTATGAAATGAATAGGTATGTATATGCAGGCTGCCGGTTCTTTATGTAATGCTGAATAATATTCTAAAGTTGGTAAAATATCATGGACTAGATTTGAAAAATATGAGAATAAATGATATATTATTCCCCACAGCAAGGAGAAGCTGAGATGGTTTTAAATGATTCTTTTATCCAAATAAGAGGTTGTATTTAATTTTGTCTCCAGTTTGAAATTACTTCTGGATTTTGTGTTTGCAATGAGAAAAAAAAACTTTGATTCTGTTTTTGTAAATTAGACAGGCTTATTGTTATAGAAATGGCTTGTACATACTGTTGTGTAAAAGCAAAATGTTGTGGTTGTATTGTTGATACCTTCGACTGTGCCAAAGAGAGTCAGAAGTTGGTGTCCTTTTCTTTTTTTTCCCTCCTGTTACACTATACCCACTCTTTATCCCTTCCTCTCTTCTTACTTTTCCATGTTTCTTTTTCTTTCTATTTTATACTTCGATAAACTAATAAAAAAGTTAAAGTGAAAAGAAAGGGAGGGAGGAAGAAAAAGAAAGAAGAAGAAGAAAGAAAGAAACAGAAAGAGAAAGAAAGAAAGAAGAAAGAAAGAAAGAAAGAAAGAAAGAAAGAAAGAAAGAAAGAAAGAAAGAAAGAAAAGAGGGAGGGAGGGAGGGAGGGAGGGAGGGAGGGAGGGAGGAGTGCCTCTGCTTGAGTTACTGTTGGTTCTGGAACTGGAAAAATCTGAAGAAATCCCATTCAAAATCAGAATTATTGAGGGGCTGAGGACGAGTATTGACATATAATGAGAATGTATGCTTATTTCACTTATATGTAGTTCACATTAATTTCATGTATTCTTAGAAAAATTAAGACAAAAGAGGAACATGCATTAAGCTATTGTTATTTAAATTCCAAAAGTTGGTAGAAAAATACCATGGATCCATAAACTTTACAAGAAGCATTTGTTTTGAGTGAAAAAAAATCACATTTATCACAGAGTAAAGTTGCCGTCTTTTCAATAGAGGGCAGAAGGAATCTCAGCTACAAGTGAGAATGTCAATTAGGATAACAGAATTGGATTGTTGCAACATTGCATTTTAAGTACATTTACATCGCAAATTCATCCGTTCTAATATCTAAGGCATGGATGGTTCTAAAACAAAAGCAAAAACCTTCAGCCACCCCTTTATACATTTTTTTTCTTCCTTTCAATCATGTCTGATTCTCAGCAATTGCCTAGACAAGTCCTGGCAATTTTCTTGGCAAGGTTTTCCAGAAATGGTTTATAATTGCCTCCTTCTTAGAGCTGAGAGAATGTAACTAGCCCAAGATCACCTAGCTGGCTTTCTGCCTAAGGAAGGACTAGAATTCACAGTCTCCCACTTTCTAGCCTGATGCCTTAATTGCCACACCAAGCTGGTTCTCTCCTTATGGATATCAAAAGAGAAATATTGTCAGCCTTGTGGGACAAACAATCACAACTAGATGATTTTATTTCTAATTACATTGTCAAAACCTTGCAACACTGAAAGTACATATTTCTCCCCCATTTTCTTTACAAACAAAGGAGTGTCTCATCTATGCTTTTTGCCCTTCCCACTATACAGCTGCAGAGTATGTTGTTTCCAGGGGTGAAATGCTCCCAGTTCGGACCGGATCGCCCAATCCGGTAGCGATGGCAGCGGGTGGTTTGGAGAACCGGTAGCAAAAATCCCTGCCCCCCACATGTTTTTTTCTGCAATCTCTTAAAGTTGTAGAAAAAATGCTTTTAAAAGTAAAATAAAAGCCTCTGATGATCACGCGGCTCAGCTGGGATCGTCAGAGGCTTTTAAAAGCATTTTTTTCTGAAACCTCTTTGGCCTAAGAGGTTGTAGAAAAAAAATGCCTTTAAAAGCCTCTAACGATCCCAGCTGAGTTGCCTGATCGTCAGAGGCTTTTAAAAGCATTTTTTTCTGCAATCTCCTAAGGTTGTAGAAAAAATGCTTTTAAAAGTAAAAAAAAAAAAAGTTGGCCACACCCACCCAGTCACATTACCACCACCACCCCAAGCCATACTCACAGAACTGGTAGTAACAAATTTTACATTTCACCACTGGTTGTTTCTTATCTGACCATTCTCTTGGCAGCTCTCTTTGCCCAATTTCTGAAGCTCTTTTCCATATACTATTACAAATATTGAACAAAAGCAGGCAATCTTAGTGCTCACCTAGGGTAGGCTCAGTACACTGACAGTATGGCTAGATCAGAAAAAAAAAAACCAATACTTTAAAAACTTAACATATTTTGATCATTAAAGAAGGAAAGAAAGGAGATGTTTATGAAAATCTTTTCAGATTGAAGGCTTTGTACAATGCTTTTTTAACTTCCTTATTTCTCAGACTGTAGATCATAGGGTTCAGCATGGGAGTGATGATTCCATATAGCATGGAAATTATTCTGCCCTGTTTGCCTGAATAAGAAGAGGTGGGACGGGCATAGGTAGCAATGGTGGCCCCATAGAAAAGACATACAACAATTAAATGAGACCCACAAGTGGAAAAGGCTTTGTGCCTCCCCTCAGTGGAAGACATGCGCAAGATGGTAGAAATTATGTAGATGTAAGAGATCAGGGTGACCAGAAAAGCCCCACTTCCTATAATACCAGCCACAAGTAGATGAACAATTTCCGCAAGGAAAGTAGAAGAGCAAGAGAGAGCCATCACAGGTTGAAGATCACAGAAATATTGGTTGACTTTCTTAGATCCACAGAAAGACAATCTAAAAGTCAATGAGGTGTGAATCATAGAATTAATTAAGCCCAATAGCCAAATCCCAGCCGTCAGTTGAATACACCGCCGTTTATTCATTATATTAGCATAATGTAAAGGACTACATATGGCCACATAGCGGTCGTAAGCCATCACTGCAAGCAAGAAGATTTCAGTGCCCAACACATCAATGAGGAAGAAGAGTTGCAGCACGCAGCCAACAAAGGATATTTTCTTGTCCTTTGACAAGAATATATGGAGTATCTTTGGTACAATGACTGTTGGACAAAGGATGTCCAGCAGTGATAAATTACTCAGAAAGAAGTACATTGGAGTTTGTAGGTGAGCATCTGTTCCTATGGCCATGAGAATAGACCCGTTCCCTGCCAGGGTGGTCAAGTAGATCAGCAGAATCACCACAAAGAGGGCAGTCTGTACTTCAGGCAGATCAGACAGTTCAGTCAAGTAGAAGTCCCTCAACCCAGTTGTGTTGCTTTTCTCCATCTTTCTGGCAATCAGACTGAGCCGCAGGAGTACCTAAAATAAGACAATGCAAAAGAGGTTTGCTAAAAGAATATATATTTCTGGATTTTAGAGTATAGCAGAGATGCAGACTATCACCTACATTTCTTCCATATATATCTGCAGACTACAGAGGGTAGTTGGGAATGGGACATTGGGAATAAGTCCACAATGGAAAAGGAAACTACATCAGTAGACAGATCGTGTCTCTTTCTCTTCATAATTGGGGCTAATGGTCAGTGTTAAATTTTATTACCTATTATTATGAGTGATGAAGCCTTTGGAGGCTTTAGTAATCCAGATCCCATCATCCCTTCATGGTCAATGATCAAGCATAAAGGAGTTTGGAAATCATCTCAAGTTCTTCACTCCCTTTCTGTCATTTCTTTTTCCTTTTCTGGGATTACTTAGATTATAAAAATCAGCATAAATGGTTAGTGCTATAAAAATATTAACATAGGAGGAAGAGATGAAGAATAAATCATTATTAAATTATAACGTGTTTAAAAGAGGCTTTAAACCACTATCTAAATTAACAAAACAGCATTGATTTAGAAATTGTTGTAGACTATATACTATGAATCTAATATCTGACTGAAAATATTCAACCTAGAAAGCCATTGTATGCAAATTCTTAATTCAGATTTAGTTCAAGAATGCGTAAGAGTCAAATGCTGCAACAGGTTTTCTTAGAATTGCTCTTGTTATTCTATAAGGTACTTATCAGAAGGAGTGGATTTTTATGAAACTCCTACTAGCCTAGGGTTTGCAAATAACATTTTATTCTTCAAAATCTCTATTACTAGCAGACATAAATCACTTAAGGGTGTTTTTCAAAACCACAAAGCTAAATGGGTTTCAATTCACCAATGATAACAATACAGTGCAAAAACTATAATATTTTCAAGGCTGCTACTAAGCCTTCCCCAAAATGCCTTACATTAAACCTTCCCATTTTGCAGTTGGGGGTTAAACATGAGGAAATAAAATGTGCTAGGGTCATCAGTTGAGATTTTATCAGAGCTATGGATAAAATCTACTCTGTTCTGACATTGACTCAGGACAAATAATTCATTAAAGAATAGAACTCCAGATAAAATAGACCCACTCATTTTCATCTGTTGGCCTCCAGATGGATGGGACTGCAGTCTGCATATTTTGCCACATGTCCATAAGGAAAATCCTGCATATCATGAGGGCACCAGAACATGGAAGATGACGTTAGATAATGTCTAAGACATAAAATTATTCTTCCAATGAAGTGAAGTCACTTGCCTTTCTTTTTTCTCCTGTTTGCATCAACACAGTAACCACAGCATGAAGAATTTATGTGGAGTCAAGCAAAATACACGCATGGCTACTCAGGCATCAAATTAACAATCATTGCTCCAATCATCAAAGTAAAGTCTTTGCTATTCTTCCTTTTTAACAAATGCAAATGATGACATTAAGGCAAAGAGTCTATTTAGGGATTCCAAGTTCTCCAAGGAATTTGGTACCAGTTGGATTTGAGTCTTATTGGAACAGAAGTTCAATTTGGTGATTTTTTAAAAAAAAAATACAACAGCATCAAACTAGGAAGAGTGACTTTACACTACTATTAATCTGTAAAAAGTAAATAAAAAGAGGACTTCCTACCAGGAAAGTACAAATAGTGTTGGGTTATTCGTGATTTCCATCTCCCATTTACAGTAACTCAAAGAACTAGACTTATTCAAGTGAACTTTGTACTTTTTTATTTTGTTTGGAACTAGGTCTGTTCAAAACGTTATTTCCATTGTGCACATAATCCACATCAACATCCTGTATACAGGTTTCTGTATATAGGTTTTAAATCTCCAGTTGTGAACAGGGCACACATATGATAAAATAAGATCTTACCTATCATAGTCATATCCCCATCTCTTGTCTTCAGAGGAAATTATACTTTTTTCATGGTAAATCAGAGTATGGACATTGTTAACCATTATAACAGGAAGACAGTTATGTTCTGAGCTATTATCCTGTGGCTTGTACAAGTGCAATTTCTACTATGCCTTCTAAATGGATAAAGGCTGCCACTCCCCATCACATCCCAATATTCAGACAATCTATTTCTGCCTTTCTTGACTTAAAAAGAATGTCTGGATTATTTTGTATTTATCCATTGATTTTTTATATATATACTAGCTGTACCCGGCCATGCGTTGCTGTGGCCCAGTCTGGTACTTCCGCTGGGCTAAAAGAGCGAGGCTGAAGTTCCAAACTCCCCACGAACATTTGGTGGGCGTAGCCAACTCGACATCACTCATTTTCATCAGTCATATGACAGCCCCCAAGCCACCCCTACGCAGCTGGTGATTAGGGCAGAGAACCGGTTGCTAAAAAACAATGGGAACCACAAAATCCTCCCTCTCTGTCTCCCCCTCTCTCTCTGTATCTCTATGTCTCTCTCTCGCCCCTCTCTCTGTATCTCTCTCTGTCTCTCTCTCTCCACCCTCTCTCTCTGTATCTCTGTATGTGTCTCTCCCCCCCCCACCGTCTCTCTGTATTTCTCTATGTATCTCTCTCCCTCTCTCTCTGTTTATCTCTATCTCTGGCCCAGCCTCTTCTGCATCCCCCGCCATCACCCTTACCTTTTCAGGCCAGGCCTTTGCAGCTCTCCGCACCACAGCATGTTATGTTAACAATATATTTGTTTCTACTCTCCTACCTATCTTAAGCTAGAGCCCATTACTTTAATTTACAACTATTTATATTTTATAGAATGATGAATTTCTATATCTAAGTTTCTATTGCTATGTTTGTAGCACTATATTTTTCTTATCTGGTTTTGAGCTCTTTAAATCTTTCCAATCGAATCCAATCAATCTTTAATACAGGTAGTCCTTAATTTACAACCACAACTGAAACCAAAATCTACGTTGCTAAGTGAGAAATTTCTTAAGTGAGTTTTGCCCCATTTTACCACTTTTTTTTTGTTGCCACATTTGTTAAGTGAATCACAGCAGTTGTTAAATTAGTAACCCTGTTGTTAAGTGAATCTGGTTTCTCCATTGACTTTGCTTGTCAGAAGGTTGCAAAAAGTGATCACATGACCCAGGAACAGTGCAACTGTCATAAATATAAGTCAGTTGTCAAGCAGCTGAATGTAAATCACATAACCATGGGGATGCTGCAATGGTCATAAGCATGAAAAATGGTAATAAGTCACTTTTTTCAGTACTATTGTAACTTCGAATGGTCAGTAAGTGAATTGTTGTATGTCGAAGACTACCCGAGTCTTCTGTATCTGGACTGCTGATATTTTTTTGTTGATATATTTTGGAATTATACCTAGTGAAAAATTTGTGATTTAATTTTCAAAATTCATGTGGTAAAATGTTCATTTTCTTTCATGGCATTGCCAACACTTGTTACTAAATGATTTATCTATCCTGGAAATTATTGATGGAGTGACATTTCATAACCAGTCTGCTTTTCCCCAAAATTTCCTTCATCTGTGCTTCCTATAAGTATTCAGGTATATATGTGCAAATGCCCATTTTTAGACATTTCATTCAGTAAAAACACAACTGCAGCTGTGGTATAGTATGTTTCCTCAGAGAACAGAGCACCAATTTTTATAGCATTTTTAAACATGTAAATGGAATGTGCTACCTGAGTCTTCTGTATCTGGACTGCTGATTTTTTTTTCTGTTGATATGTTTTGGAATTATACCTAGTGAAAAATTTGTGATTTAATTTTCAAAATTCATGTGGTAAAATGTTGGTGTGTTGGTTTTACATCCAGCAGGTGACGCTGTTTTTCAATGTTTGTCAATGTTTGTCAATGTCTTTCAATGTTTTCCAATGTTTTTCATGTTTTTACCTGTCCCAGGTGTGACATGTATATAATATAGGTATATAAAAACACACCCGTAGTTGAATGCAACGTTGTTTCAAAATTTGAAAGCAATCGGTGAAGAACTTTCAGAGATGTGCAGTTATGTACAAACGGACATTTACATTTTTATTTATATAGATATATAAAGGATATTGGAATCTATGGGCCAAACAGCCCAAATCACCTCACAAGGTAGCTTTGTTTAGCAAAATAAGATGGGGGAGGACCAGGGGTGAGTTCTACTTACATCTACTACCGGTTCGCAACAGGGCCGCACACGCGCGCATGTTCAGAAGCTTCCTGATGACATCAGGGTTGGTGGGCGGAGCCTCCCACCAGTTTTACTACCTGTTCTATAGAACCGGTCCAAACCGGGGGCAACCCACCACTGGGGAGGACTACTGACACTGCTTTCAGCTCCTACAGGAAATGTGGAAAATAAATCTAATAAATAAGTGCAAGGGTTTTTGTATGTTTGTTTGGTTTTGCCATAAGTTGAAACTGCTGCAAGTGTAGTCTCACAGCAAAATGGGAGCCACAAGTGGAAAATGCTTTTTGCCTACCCTCAGCAGAGTGTGTCCGTAAGATAGCTGAAACTGTACAGATATAAGAGATCAGGGTAACAAGAAAAGCACCACACCCTAAAATGCCAGCCACAAGGAGGAGGACAAGCTCAGGTAGATATGTCAAAGAGCAAAGAAGACCTTCCCATAATGGGGAGGTTGTCTCAGTAATATTGATTCACTTTTTTGAGTCAGCAGGAAGGTAACATAAAGGTCAGTGGTGTAAAAATCATAGTATTTGTTTAGCCTGTTAGCCAGGTCCTGGCTGCCAGATAACTGCTTGCTTATAATATTTGTGGAGCATAGGGGGCTGCATATCAGCACATAGCAGTCATGAGCCATCACTGCAAGCAAAAAATAATCAGTGTCCACCACAAAAATCAGGAAGAAGAGTTGCAGCATGCAGCCAGTGAATGATATTCTCTTGTCCTCTGACAAGAAGGTCTGGAGCATTTTTGGCACAGTGACATTAGGATAAGGGACATCCAGACACAGAAATAAATATCTAGGAGTCTGGAGGTGAGCATCTGTTACTGGTGCTATAAGAATAGCCCCATTTCCTGCCAGAGTGCTGAAGTAGGTCAGCAGAATCACCATAAATAAAAAAAGGTGCACTGCAGGCAGATTGTCTCTACAGAGGACAATCACAGGTGATCAGTGAGGAAATAAGGAATGAAAGAAACCAGACTCGGGGCAATTCAGTACAATAGCTGAGTTCTATATTCCAGGTTCTCAAACATGAGAGGCACATTAATCTCAATTAATCAATAACTTTTTCACCAACGGTGTT